TTTTTTTTTTTGAATATAGATATACAGAAAATAAATGTGCTTCCACTATCTATCTTCCTCCCTCCTTAATTTTAAAAATACAAGTGTGTGTGTATGTGTGTTGGTTATTTAATTTGGGTGGGATCTGTAATATCTTATTTTTGTAATGTTTGATTCCTCGTCTTAATAACTTTAATGTTGGTCGATTCCTTTTTTTTTTTTTGGAGATCATTAAAGGATGTTACTATTGACAGCCCCTTCTTAATATTTATGCACTTTCTAGACCATTTTCATCTGTCATTTTTTTTTAGAAAAACTCAGAAAATCGTAAATTCTCTGAGACCGGACGACTTCTGGCGAGAAAATATTGTTCGACAAGATCTGCTTTTTGACCAGCCGACAGAGAGTTGAGGCCGCACTCTGTCGCGGCTGGCACCAAGCATAACCGCAATCCTCGTCGCCGGCCGGTTTACGTCAAACTTTTCAGATCGCCATAAATTTTAAGCCGTAAGTTTTCTACGTCAAACCATTAGATCTGCTGCATAGGTTTACGTTTGCTATTGAATTAGTGACTTGTATATAACGAGATCTTCATAGATCCCAAATCACAGCACTTGGTTAATTCGTTTTGTACAAAGTTAGAATTTTTACGACTTTATTTGACAATATGTGTTCAACCGCAGTCATATATTTGATTATATTTGCATAACTCGGTTTTGCAGGAATTAATTTAATCCACTATTATGGTCGACTATGTGTTTGAGGAATGTTGTTGAATGTGATGTATGGTGTTAAATTCGTCCGACGGTTGACCGGATAGATTTAATTATTTTTTAGAAAATATGTACATTCATTCAATGGATTATGTAATTATGTAAATTATTATTTCGTATTGTGATCGTAGATTGATGACCAAGAGATCACAAGAGATCAACGAACCTCGAAAATCCAACCGGACTGGAGCCCATTGGAAGGCGCGTGTAACGCGCGCAAAATAAAAAACAAATCCAACGATTTTTTCCGGCGGACCGGCGACGGTGGCTGATGGTGTCAGTTTTCTTGTTGGACAAGCAGTACAATATCAACCAGGATTCTACTGCATTGGGAGCTCCAGTTGAACATGGAAAGAATATACAAGGATTCCTTGTTTAAGGGGACTCAATATTTAATGGCCATAATAGTGGATTTATTTATTTAAATATTATTATGTGCATTAAATATTTTATTTATTTATTTATGCATGTTAATTAATTATTGCTTTTGCATAGGTAAAAATGCATATTTATTTATGCATGTTGTAGTGCCCCGTCCAAATATTGGATTTTATGTGATTAGTTGATATTATTTGATTTTTGGATTCTTTATGTTATTGCTCGTTTAAGCCATCATATTATATTGTCTTGAAAATGATATAATGCCTCGTTCTATTTAATTTAATTAATTCGTTCAAAATTTAGGTTTAAATCAGACCATGAATCGATTTTTATCATTTGTGTATTGATCGAACCGAGCCAAAGTCAAACCGAGGTCAAACCGAACACTTAGAAATAATTTCTAGGTCAATTAACATTTGGACTAGGAGACATGCCAGGCCCGAGCAGCCCGCGTCCACCCCGCGCCAGCGCAACCCGCAGCGCCCCAGGCCAGCGCCAGTTGATGAGGATGTGGCGCGGCGACTCAAGAATGCATCGAGCCGCGCCTATCACGCGCGAAGTAGCCCAGCACACGACCGAGACGCAGGCAATGGAACAAGACGCGCGATTGGCGGGGATCGACATGCACGAACAAAGAGCGTGACAGCTAGGGGACATCACGGGCGTGACGTCCGAAACTAGTGAAGGCACGGGGGATACAGGCGACGAGGGTACACGCGCACACTCGGACAGCAAGACTTTAGTCCTCGAGGCATGCAGCAAGACGCGCGATACACGCGCGAGCGAAGCCTTAATCCTCAAGGAAAGGGGCAAGGCGCGCGAGGGAGAGCCCGAGGCGGCTAGTGTTCCAAGACTTGGAGCGCAAGATTAAACCTGTAGTTTCCTTATTACTTTATGATTTCTAGATTGTTTAGGACTTAAAATATTTTATTGCTTTATTAGCTGATTTAGTTGGATTAGGATTAGATTTGTTAGGAGCCTATATATAAGCGCATGCTCTTGTTATTTTTCATCATTAAATTTCATAATAAAACTTGAACTTTGGTTCAAACACTTTTCCTTAGAAATTCTCGTGATTTCTTTTGCAATTTTATCTCGTTTCGAAGGGGAGCGTACATGTGAAACTCCGCGGCACTATCGTCGGTTCAAGGCGCGAGTGCGCGGCTTATTGACAATCGGGACACGCGATCTTCTTCATTGGTGAGAGGTGTTAGATCGTATGTGTTTTCTTCCCCATTCCTTTGAATTTCGTTTGTTTCAAAAAAAAAAATCTTCTTCAAGACGAGTCCACGTAGTAAAGAGTGAAGGCAAGAGCGAAAGGACATGGCCAACAAGGAGATGAAGGATAAGCTCGAGAATTTGGACGTGCAAGTAAGGAGCATGAGTGAAGCCGTGGAAAACCTAGGCGAGGGGCTCGATACCACCAAGGCATCGGTGCGAGATATGATAGAGAGCATGAACTGGAGGTTCGACGAGATGGTGCGCAACATCCAACACCAGGTGCGTCAACAATCGCCACAGCGACTGCAAGGGCGCGAGCGACCCGGGGACCATGATTAACATCATGCCGAGTACGAACAAGAGGAGGAATTTGAGCAAAGGTCACAAGCCTCAAACAACCAGGACAGACCGCAGCTTGATAAGCCGAGGTTAATGCTATCGACGTTCAGCGAATCCGACCACGGCGCATGGCTCAATCGAGTCGTGCAATACTTCGAGTTGAACGAGACATAAAAGCGCGACTGGGTCCGGTACGCGGTATACTACTTGGATAGCGAGGCCAACGTGTGGTGGCTGTGGCTTTCAAGCGTCTACCGTGGCAGGTAGAAAGTGATCCCATGAGAAGACTTCGAACGCGAGTTACTCACGCGCTTTGGAACGTCCGACTACTACAATTACGATGAGGCCCTTTCACGCATAAGGAAAACGGGTAGTCTACGCTACTATCTGAAGGAGTTTGTAACACCTCGCATGTCGTGTGCGAGGCTGGCCCGAAAGTGCGCTAGTTCGAGCATTCATAGGTGGGCTGAAGTTCGACTAGCCGCAGAAGTATAGTTGGAACGACCGAACCTGATGCACATGGCTATGGAGGTCACCCGATGTCGTGACGATCACCTCGCCGCCACTCAAAGGGGGTGGGCAGACGCTCGATTTTCCAAGCCGCACCGTGTTCCACCAGGCCCAAGCAACTTCAACCCGAGTTCTCGACCACCGGGTAGCAATCGACACCAGCACCGGAGGTCAAGCGCTTGTCGTTTGAAGAGATGAGGAGGAGGCGAGAGAAGGGGTAGTACTTCAAGTGCGAAGAAAAGTTCACGCGGGTCATCGATGCAAGCAAGCCTTTGTGATCGATGTCGTTGACTTGGACGAGGAAGAGCCCGTGGTCGAAGAGCACGTAGAGAACGAGGTCGAGGTCGAGGCGCTCGAGGAAGAGGTAGAGATCTCGATGCACGTGATGGCGGGTACTCGAGGACCAAGGACGATGCGACTGCCAGCATGGGTAAAGGATCGCCGAGTAGTCTTGCTCGTGGACAACGGGTCGTCGCACAACTTCATCAATGCTTCGCTTCCTCAAAAGTTGAAGTTGCCGACAACAAGGATCGAGCCATTTGAGGTCCGTGTAGCCAATGGTTGACGACTAAGGCGTTCAGAGGCTTACCGTGGGGTGCCGATCAAATTTCAAGGGGTGACCGTTAAGGCTTATGTAACACCCCGCCTAGACTTACTAAAATCAGAGTAAATTTTTCGCGCTATAAATGGAAAGAACTGATTTAATTTTCGAAAACTCATATTAATTTTTCGAAAATACTTTTACTTTAAAACACGAGGTGCTACTCAACTTTAATCTTATATCTTTATTTCTTTAATCTATCATGCATGCGACCAAGTAAATTCATTCTAGAATTAAGGCCTTGAATAATACCGGATAAAACATGCATATTCTGAAAATCTGACATAATCTGACATCTGAAATAATAGTCTAAAATCTGACATATGAAACACAAGTCTAACATGCGGAAGCAAGTACAAATTCAGAAAAGCACACAAGCATAAAATAAACATAGATAATTCAAACATGTTCAAATACTATATGACATGTTTTCACAAAAATGTCATGATGTTGGACCAACACCACATAACTGCTCACGCTCCACGCTGGACTCCATCACCTGAAAAATAAGGTAGTGGGGAGGCGTGAGCAC